TATACAGCGTGTCCCGTATCTTCCGCATCAGAGCATTATACGGTTGTAGAATACATTATTCTGAAGCGATCTTTCTAATAAAATTTTTTCGAAATGTTTATAATAACCGCACGGGAACTGTTTAAAGGAACTGTTTTTCGTCCAATCAGCAGATCGCAAATCAGACTCAGGTAATCGGTGCCACCCTCGGCCGGTCCGCTACGCCGATGATAACTCGTTTCCCACGTGTACTCACCAATAGATTCGTCATGGAAAGAGAAATAAACTTTTTCGATGAATCAAAGTCGTCCGTTATTGGTCGTCGTTAAACAGTTCCCGTGCGGTTATTATAAACATTTCGAAAAAAATTTATTAGAAAGATCGCTTCAGAATAATGTATTCTACAACCGTATAATGCTCTGATGCGGAAGATACGGGACACGCTGTATTGTCAATTGCCCCTCTTCTCTTCCTGAATCCCGCCTGCCCATCCGGCAACAACTTCCCCTCTTCATTTTCTCTTCCAATCTCCCCAGCAGTACCTTTGCATATATTTTAAATGTAGTGTCCAACAGGACGATCCTGCTATAATTGCCCACCACCATTTTACTTCCCTTTTTATACAGTGTAACAAACGAAAAATCAAAATTGGCTCTGAGGGGTGCTAAGTTCTGCGTTCAATCTTCTCTAATCTCAAGCATATCTGTGTTAGGTATTATACAAAACGAAACATGATGGATTTAACTTTCTACACCATTTTCCTCAGTCCTTGGTTAATTGTCGTTCATTTTGATTGAAAGCTTATTCGTCATTTTGAATTTCTTCTTTTCCACTTCCCATCAACTTTTCTATATTCCATTCAGACTCTTCACCAAACTCATTCTACAGTTTTTGTGGTGATCCCTGCTCTTTGTTGCAATAACTCATCTTCATCAACGTATCCTAAGCCACATTTTGCAGAAGGATAAGATAGAACGGTACTTTTTATCAAAGACATCAAATCTTCAATAGCGGCTAAATTATAGAAGTTTAAAGAATAAGAACCATTAGTAGCCGTATCATAGGTAGGGAAGAATAACCAAGTAAAATTTCAACTCAAATAAAAATCAAGAGATAAATGTATCTATCAAGATTTAGACATGGTCCAAAACATCATTTTGATATCCGGCAAGCGATTTCTCCCTGAATATGCCAAAACTCTGCTCTACATTTTTTGAAAAGCTAGCTCTTGTTAAAAACTCTATATGTTTCAATAAGATTACGAATCATTTACTTTATTATGGTAACTATATGGAATACTGTTTTAATAAATCTAAAACTAAATTTACTTACGTATGTTACATAATTTAGAGATGAACATCCAGGTTAGGACAATTAAGAAAAAAAATTGCTTTAATATGTATGACGTCGAAGAAACTCCGTTTCTTTTAAATTGTGACTCATATTAAAATCAAAATCATTTTTTAAGATCACACTTACAGTTAGTGAGAGTTTTCCACTTCTCAACTCAACACGATGATGTTGCTAAAGTAGTAGGAAGAAATTTAAAGTAAAAGTAAGAGTACCGTACTCTTACAGTTGCAGTTTTTGACCCTCACCGTTAACGTTCGCGCCGTAAACGCCAACAACTTTCACTATACCCGGCTATCAAACCGAGGTTGGAAATTCCGTTATTTTCGTTTCGAACACATAAGCATTAATAACTCGAAGAAGAGATGATACATAAAATTAAACGTAGCGGAGGACTAGTGAAATGTGAAAGTTTTGTTTTGGTCTGTTTTCTTCTTTTATTATACACATTTACCGGTAAGTATGAACTATTTTGTTTAATAAACGTATAAATTGAGATTGAAGGTTTCGAAAAATTAAATATGCATTAATGGTGTTCTTGAAATAATTGAAATATTTCGTTAAATAACTTTGTTATTACTTAATTATTAGATTACATTAGGGCTTTTATGTTGAGAATACCAAGTTTGTTTATGAAACGTCATTGCGAAAAAGAATTTTAAAGTGTAATCGTTTCTATTTATGTGGATTTTTCTAAATTAGGGTCAAGTTAAACAACGTTTACAAACGCAAAAATTGTAAATATACGTTTGGTGTAGATGGGTGTAAATAAACATGTGTGAACTTTCTCGTTTGAAAATATTTTTTTTATTGAAACTTTCTCAACTGAATTCAGATCTCATTTAAATCCTTAATTTTAATTAAACTACTATGGTGTAAATTATTTTCTAGTTTATTTAATTGATTTTCTTATCAGGTTCATCGGGTCAAAAAGAAAAAGAGAAACCAAGTAACATTCAAGATTTATACAACACAAGTTCATGTATCCCAAAACCATTTAAATGTCCTCATCGTCAAATTGAATTTTTTCTTTACACCAGGTAAGGTTTTTTTATCTTAAAAAAAAAACGAAAGTACTGATTACTGCAAAGAATGTGTTCTGATTAAAATAACAAGATTACTCTTGAATGATATTACGTAAACAACTTTCTTTCTGTTACGTGGAATCACAAAAATCGGAATAAGCTGATTAATGAATTGCATGGTTAAAATAAAACTATAAATTTAATGATGAGTATAGGCGTTGCAAAAAACTTCCTGGATGAGCTCAGAAAGAAAGTGATTATTGCAAAAAATCCAACAAAAACTTAGGGACATTAAGATTAGGACATCGGATTAGTATCAAATAACCCCCTTGAATACACAGTGCTGATTATAATTGAAATTTTCTGTTCATATGTGCGTGACCGGAATATCCTGTCGCGTTTTCGACATACTAAAATCATCATGGGGTGTCATTATAGGTACCATTAACTTACCACACTATTTAATGAAGGTACTTTCACTCTATATCTATTATCTAAAACATGCATTGTATCCAAAATACCAAAGCTATGATAAGAAAGAAAATTTTATGGTTCTAATCGGTTTTGTTATTATACATTTTAGAAAGTTTTAAACCGTTTAAGGAAGACTTTTTATCGTTGAAATCGGAAATAAGTTTAATTCTACATAATTTTATTTAAACCTTTTAGGCGAACTCAGCAAAAACCGGAACTGTTAAACACCAAAGATCAAAATTCCCTTTTTAATTCGTTTTTTAATAGACACCATCCCACAAAAATAATAGTCCATGGATTTGGTGGTGGCCGAAATCAATCGCCAAGTACCGATATGAGAGATGCTTATTTTCATAATGGCGAATATAACATAATCATCGTCGATTATGGAAGTTTAGTCAAAGAACCGTGTTTGAAACAAATGGAATGGGCACCTCGGTTTTGCGCTAAATGTATCTCGCAATTAGTAAGATACTTAACACAACATCCACGGGGAATTCGCGCCGATGATATGCACATGATCGGATATAGTGTTGGGGCTCATATAATTGGATTGGTGGCGAATTATTTGAGCCCGGAAAAAGATGGAAAACTCGGTAGAATCACCGGATTGGATCCTACAATAGTTTTTTATATGGGCAATAATCGATCGAGAGATTTAGATCCGTCGGATGCCCATTTTGTTGATATTATGCATACGGGAGCTGGTATTTTAGGGCAATGGGGTCCAAATGGTCATGCTGACTTCTATATTAATGGTGGTTCTAGTCAACCCGGTTGTGCAAGCGATACTTTATTTCGTAAGTTTTAATAAAAATAATACTTCAATCAACGTTTGAATTTTTTGTTGTGTTTAGAAACTTTAGCTTGTGACCACACCAAAGTTTCACCTTATTTCGTAGAATCAATAGTTACCAAAAAAGGATTTTGGTCATATCCTTGTCCCACACTGGTCAGTTATCTTTTAGGATGGTGTAATCCCGATAAAGAAGATTATGTTTTAATGGGAGAACATGTTACACATGAGTAAATATATTGTTGTTGATAATAATTATTTAAAAAATAATTCTTTTTTTTTTGGTTGTTTAGAGCACGTGGAATTTATTACGTATCAACGAATCCAAGTCCTCCTTTTGCACTAGGATACCCGGGAAAACAGAAAAGGGATTTATTTAGAAGGAAACGAAATGTTTAAGTTTAAGATGAAAATAAAGTTTTAAGTAATTTATTAGATTTTGATTTTCATTAGCAATTAGAAATGTTATTGTATCAATAATATATGCTTTTTTAATAAAGAAATTTAATTTCACTAAAAGTTATTTATTGCAACTATAAATTATTGTTATAAAGTAATTTATTACAAGTCACAAAACAATCAATTTTAAAACATTTTATTTAACATTTTATTTAACATTTTATTTAAACATTTATTTTAAAACAATTATGTAATTTTTGTGTGTTAGTTTGAGCGTGCTTAAAATATCATAGATGACATCGACCCCCTACAAAATCATACTATTTAGTTGCGAGTTCACCAGAGTTTTGAAACTAATCCGTAATAGCTTCAGGATCAAGGTTAATATCGCTCCAGAGTTTCTCATAGTTTAATCGTTAACTTGTATTTATTGCCCACTTCAGTTCTTTTCTGGGGTATATACAGATTTTCGGGGATACGTCTTGTATTTCTTATCAACTTTCTTTGACTTTCAGCAGTAAACCTGCAGTTTTTGGTTGGCTATAAGGGATGCTTCTAAGATTATAGGGATGCCGTATGAGTACCGTACAGTCCCACATCACATATTTTGCATCATTTAGGTAGATCAATACTCCGCTTATATCACTGAAAGTTTGTTTTATCCGATGATTTCATTTTATGTTCTTTGGATGAGAGCGTTTTTTTAAGTGAAACTTCTAAGCATTTTGGTGTTCTCGATTCTAAGCTTTCTGTCGACCAGTTTATTGTTTAAATGAATACATGCTACTTCAGTTTTGATAGGATATGGTTGAAGACACCATTTTCAGAAGTACCTTCAAAAGAAAAACTAAAAACGAACCTGTGGAACAACATTGGTAGCGTTGGCTTCCACTCTGTGCTCAACATCCTTGAGCGTCCTGGTTTTCTACGCAAAACCTGTCCAGTCTAAACATAATACGAACCCAGCGTGGTAAATGCGTCTACTTTCTGCATAAATGGGGCAAGACTTTGATGCCCTTTGATGCCCCTTCTGGTAATGCGGTGATAATCAAACCCTGAAACATATTATAAAAGATTGTCCTAGGACAGCCTATGATGGACTACTTGATGATTTTATGTTGACGACTCCAGAATCAATATCTTACATAAATTAACTAAATGTCTGTTTATAATCGGAACCGTGACTGTGATTCTAATTGCAATTATAATGGTATATTGGTTTTATATTATTTTATTGCACAAAACACCGTTCACTTTTTCGTCCAGTGAACTCATCCGAAAATATTGCTACTGTTGCCCAAAGTGTGCGTGAAAATCCATTAACATCAACTCGTCTTTGTTCTCAGCAACTGAACATTTCTTGTACTTTTCTGAGGAAAATATTGCATAAAGATCTTCATAACAGTTACAAAGTTCAATTAGTCCAAGAAATGAAGCCTCCCAATGAACTGGAGATCGATTGGTCGAAGATGAGCATTTTTACCGAAAAAACATCTTTTCAGGTGAAGCCCATTTCCACTTCGGAGGCCATCTCATTAAGCAAAATTGTTGCATTTGGGGCTCAGAAAATCCAAATGTCATCATTGAGAAGCCCATACACTCAAAACGAGTAACTAGGTTCGAAAGTGAGCAAGAAACCGTCGTTATGGTCAATGAGCGAGCGTTACCATGCTATGCACAACAAATTTTTGTTTCCAAAAATTGAAGAGGATGACATGGACGACGTTTGGTCTCAACAGTAGCAATTGAACTTTTGAGCGCCGTTTTCGAAAATCTAATAATCAGCCGATATTATGATGTCAATTGGCCGCCTCGGAGTTGTGATTTAAGCCCGTAGGACTATTTTTGGTGGGTGAAGGATAAATGTTACGCTAACCACCCAGAGACGATTAGGTGATTCAAAGACGTTAGATGGCCCACCCTTTAGATCTAGCTAGTGAAATTATTACGGTTGATTCCGGTTTAGTTTGATAGAGATTCTTATTGAGGTTGTTTCTTTTTGATCTTTGTATTGCTTACTATAAACAGATTGATGTTAGTTTGGAAATAAATTGAAATTGTAATTGTGGCAGCCACAGGAGTTGTTATGTAGCCCGATAACCCGTAGTTGAAATAAAGGCCCTCGCCATTTTTCGCAGCTGATTTCAAGCGATTTTTATATACCGCTATATATCCACCCTTTCTTGATTTGACTTGTTTTCAGCAAGCTATTAGCGACAGGCTCACTAATCTTAGAAATCCCTTCAATATTCGGTAGCTAATTCCTGGCAGCAATCAAGGTCCAGGACTTCCAACGGTGTATTAGATACTAATCTATGACCATAAATTATCGATCTTGCATCCAAACGCGCTCCTTTTTAGCATTGTGACTCAGCTCAATCAGTACATTATCATATCCATCAATCTTTTCTTCTACTAGATTATACAGCAAACCGAACAATTCTTTATATCGAAGATTTAACGTCCTATTTCTTGTCAAGGTCTTCCTCTGATTTTGTTTAGATGTTGTGTGGTTTCCCCTTCGTTCTTCTTTCTTGGTGTTACATGAACCATTTTTTTCTAGCTGTTCAGCTATTTCTCCTTCAGCTTTCTTATAGCTGCTTTATATCTTTAGTAACACATAATTGCACTGCAAGCATTGTACAAGTCAAAAGAACAATAATAAAAAAAAAAGGTTCGATAATTATACTTTTTTGAAAGATCTCACTCAGTTCACAGTAAAAGTTTTGTTCCAAGTACCTCTTGAACCATAGATTTTATTTCATCAGGAAAATGATTATATATTCTGGCCGATTAGTACATAATGTTTTTGTGAATTCCAGTAAATTTTAGTCTTTTAAATTTTAGATTCCTGTTAAAGTAAGTATCTGACATTCCTCAAAAAAGTCTTTACGTGAGCTGTTTCTTTAATTCAAAAACATTTCTAAGACATTTTTTTTGTAGTGGGAAAATTCTGTTTACCGCTGAAGAGAAGCCTCAAAAAATTAAGTAGTGGGCAGAATGTTCCATAATACGCAAGCAAGGCAGTCTCAGTAGATGTTCTATCTTTAATTTGCTGTATAAGATATACGTATTTAGCTATCTTAGATTCTAAGTATTTAATGTGGTGTTTTCAATGAAGAGTGTATATATAGATCCTTACAAAGTCCTTAGCACGCCTTTCCATAATCCATCCAACCCGATTATTTTCAAATTTATGTTTTGCAATCTCAAATTACAATCGAATTTTTTGAACTCGTACATAGAAGTGTCGAAATTTGTTCTTAGCATCTTCAAATTTATATTACGTATCGATTTTTATATTAAATTCTAATTTATAATTTGTTATATTTATAATATATAACATAATTTCGGCTTTGAGTACTTTAAGTATTTTTCAAATATTTTTTAGTTAACATTTTCTTGATTAAAACTGAATTACCTAAATTATCAATTAAATAAAACAATAATTAATTGCATAACAGATTTATTATTATCGTTATCATTTATAATTTTTATCATATATTTTTATAATTTACACATGGATAATTTTTTGATATACATGTTTTGTTGTTGTCTTTTACACGTGAAACTTTAGAATCATTATTATCATCTTAACATGCACACGAATACAGGGAGTAATTTAAATTTAAATTTACTTTAAGTACATCTATTTGTCCATTTTAACCCGACATTTTTTTTTAAATATTTTTTGTGCATTTTACGGTTTCTTTCAATCTATAAGGATTTCATATTATTGCCTCTACACTAGTTTAGTTCTGTATCCGAGCATTTTTAGGTTGCCACAAAGCAATAGCAATAGCAAAAAATTATAATAAGTTTTGAAAGTCGAAAGAAGTTATTCAAATTCTTTTTTTTATTGCATTCCCTTTTAGGCAATAGAAAAATTACGGATAGCGACATTACAAAATACAAAAACAATTTAAAAAAATTATATGACGATTAATTATACACGATTCTAAAAGCACGATAACAATCATAATTAATTCGTTAATAAGTAATATCTAATTTTTTTTATTTTTTTTTCTTTGATTTTTTTTTGTTATCTATTGTGTATTGACCAGAGAGAGATAGTACAAAGATAATACAAAGATAATATAGATCACATACACACGTACTACGTACGAGGTAGCGTAAGGAATAAACGACATCTACGAGGCGTTTTCAGCAATGCTTACATTCGATCAATAATGAAAACTTAAGGTGACTAAAAGGTACCTTTATTAAAAGGATATCGTTAAAGATATCGCAAAAGATATCACTAAAGGTGTCGCTAAAGATATTGTTAAAGATATTTTTTAATAGAATAATCATTTTTGTTGAAATTATGTACAAACTACTAATACTGAAAATATTTAAAAGTATTTTTCTTTAGAAAAAGTTTTCTTTTATCTAAATCCTCTAAATTTACACACATTTATACAAATATTCGCGCCCCAACGTTAATTTTTCTTTTTGTACTAATTCATCTTCCGCTCTATTAACATCCTATCTTTTTATTTATTTTTTTATTTCTTCTTATTTCTAGCATACTTATTTTCCCATTTTAATCCACATTCACACTTTCAAATTTTCGTATATTATATTTCTTTAATAGTCTATTTAATCTCGATATGCTTTAAAAAAATCAGCAATAATCGAGAGAAGAGACACGATTATTTTCATATCGCTTTTTTATTTATTGTCAGCACAGCCTTGAGGCATTCTACCTCAACAGTTTAGTTAATAATTAATAATAAAAATTAAAAAGAATAATATATTATATAGTTTAATAAAAAGTTCTAATCGACGCACAAAACTAAATATATCACATAAAGTTTATTAGTTTTTTTTGTGTATAACAAGGAGTATTTGGACGACTACACTGGGTTTTTTTGCTTACGAGAAATATTACATTTAAATAACTCTAAATAATAATGTTACACAAGTTTACATGACAAAAGGTGATTTTAAGGTAATTTTTGATGAATTTTATTACTCTAATCTTACAATTAGATTACCCAGTCAAATTGGTTTTAGCAATCTTCAACTAAAGGAATGATTTTCTTTTCTATTTTAAAGTGAAAAGATTCATAAGAACGCTGCTCCGAAAAATAGATTTGACACCTATTAAGAACTAAGTGTGAGTTATTTGGTCTGCTGAAAACTTATTGAGTATTCAAATACTAACCTTGTCGTCATTCATTGTGTTATGGGCGTTGTGGCGTTCACAAATCGCTCTGTGGTTATGACTACACATCGAGGGGTGACTCACATCAGTTGGTTTTAGTGGAGTATAATATATTGCAATATAGATAGACGTAGTAAAACGAATTAACAACTTAATTAAGAATTAATGCCACCATATAAGATGCCAGCTCTCGATGATCTTTGCCCAAAGAACTCTTCTCAAAGAGTTCACATCAGAACTATTAGCAGTTCTAGTTTGCTCACACAATTGATATTAAACTTGGTGGTTATTGAACCAATGAGTTCAAAAATATTCTCAAATAGACGATTCCAGATGTGATTAACACCATTGTAGAATACGACTTGACTCACAAACATAATAATATCCATAGTAGACAGTGATATTTTATATCTTAGAATCAAACCTATGATAACAGAAAAAAAGCAGGAGTTGAGGCGACTATAGCAACGTAGCTCAGACTAAATAAACAACCCACAAAGTAAATGCTATATAAGAATAGCAAGTATGTATATGTACCTTGCAATTTACAATTAAAAAGTGTCCGTTCAAAGTGACGGTTTGAATGTCACAACATAGAAATCACTGTTATCTGAGTATTCGAGTGATATAAGATTAACTCATAAGATGAGAATGTTGAATGCCTTTAGCAGAGTCTTTGATAATCTCTAATAAGAACTGAACTTCTAATGACTGAGTTTATTTTGCGTGCAGTGAGCTCAGCAACCTCAAACAGAATGTTGGAACAGCCTTCAACAGAGCTCAAAGCTCTAGATTAGGTTTTGACCGGAGCTGCTATAGAAACAAACTATCAATGTTTAAAAAAACTCTTCTATTTTTTCTATGAAAAATGATTATGAGAAAAAGTCACCTTTTGATTTTGGCGTTACTCAAAACTACAATCAGATTAGTATATATTGACTACCATATCAAAAGTTAACACCTTCTAATGACTAACTTTTCAAGTTCGTAGCTCTCTATAGGTATTTAAGAAGGTATTAATCACACACCGATGGCAGGAGAATTGCTATTAACTACGGAAATCTGTATTTCGTAGTCCCACAGAAAAAAACAATATCTCCTTATGATCATCACATAATGGATAGTTCTCCACATGATAGTTCTCCACTGTATGACAAGCTTTGACAGAAGGCGTCTTCGTAAGACGACATTCTTGGGTATTTACGAAACTTTGGTTAGAGTGTTTTTTTTGGATAGAGTGTTCTTAAACAACGATTCGTTATGTTGAGGGATGGAAATATCATCTTTAAAAGGGTTATTGCTTAAGGATGCCCTCATGTTATAGACCCTCATGCTATAGTTTCCTACATTTATAATATGAAAATTCCGTCGTTGCAAACCGTATTGACAAAATTTGAGTTGAACATTGAGGAACAAGATTAGGTGCTGCCTCCAACTCCGATAGCGAAGTAGATGAGACTTATCAGCCGCAATAACTTGTGTCATCACTGATTCATAATCAGAATGCGATGACTTCAATTTCATTCGAATTCTGATTTAATAGGTATCTGAGCAGTTTTTGCTGAAAGTTGAAGGTTTATTTAAAGCAGGGAATTATTCTGGATTAGCTGTTTTTAAAGATGACAACACTTTTCCGAGGTGAATCTACATGTTTTAAGAGGGTTGATCTGCTCAAAAGAAGAAACAGACCAACTCCACATATCATCCAAGCTGTAGATCATAAAATATTTGAAGAAGAACTATCACCAACTGCAATTAGAATTCTGTCAGCAAATAAATACAAACATAGTTCATTTCTGGACAAGCTGTGGATGTCAGTTGAGGACCAGTTTTGCATAACTATCATTACTGGGCAGATAGCAACCCTAAATTACAAACTTGAAGTTTATGTACAGTTAAATGAAAAATTTTGCGAAATGTTACATCTGTTATAGAAAACTTAAATAAAGAAAAATCTGCCCGATTGTTACAATAATCTTCAAGAAATCACACCTTCATTTGAAGTCTGATATTATCCTTCAATAGCAGCCTTATTCAAAATTGTATTGTTAGTTTGTATGATGACAAGCTTTAAAATAAACGTTTAAATTATCCAGTAACAATATTATTCACATGTTGAAAGAGTATGGTTGGCCAATTTTTCGACTAGAGAGAGGCTGAACATACATATCATACATCCTAGGCAACTCTCGTATTTCTCATCAATAATATCCAAAAGTGGAGGATGTTGGTAAATAATTAACGATCGTTCTGAACGAAGAATTATCATTCCCAGAGCTCTAAGTAGATGTTAGCAAACCGTCAAAGGTTTTGTGGATGATTCATGAGCTAGATAATTGGTTAAAGCTATCTGTTTAGAAAAAGTACTTAATATTATTTGCTAAATAGAAAAACGAGTAAATAGTCTCTCTACAGCAGATGAAGTTGGCTGTATCTTAACAAAAGCGTACAATTACCTATATTTTTCCACTGCTAATTTACCGTAAATGATAAAATGGCCACTTTTATAGCGGGAATAGCTCTAATATAGGTTCCTCCGGAATTTATTGTTGAGTATCGTTAATCTCTGTAAAATGATGCCTTTTTAGATATTTGTTTCTCACCAAGACTGATTCCTAAGCTTCAACAACACGATCAGCTCCAATTAAAAGTTCACTTCTTCCTCTCTTTCTTTACACGACTAGGGTTAACTAATCAGCTGGGCTTTATAAGTCTGTTCTATAACCTTAGTGGTGGTTCTTTGAGCCGTATTTACCTGGAGGTCAGGTAGGTGGCTAACCTTACCTGTGAGGAATTTTTGATGTATTAACGATAGCTAACGACGTTGATGTAGTTTTCCGCCGCTTTTGCAAGCCTTGCCATTAACAGCAGAGCCGATCTGAACTGAAACATCTAACAGTTTTGTATCATTATGAACATTAAAGCACGAGTACTGCTAATTCCAAAATAGAAATAATAACAAAATTTCTCAAAAAATCTATAATAAGTTATAACTAAATACATTATTTAGAACCACCTTTAATCGGATATATTCCTGGATGAGTTTCTACCAAATAGTTTATCAAAAGAAGAACGATCAAAAACTCTTCAACCTGATGATAAAACAACGTTAAATTTACTTCCTTTAATCCAACAAAAGTTAACAGCAGGGCCCAAAATAACAAAAATAGAAAACGATTTCAATTAATGTTGAGATAGATTAATAATAGTAGAAAATTGCTAAAAATAATTTGTTTAAAATCCTAATGTTAAAATTCGCACAAAAATACTTTAAAAACCCCTCATCATAAACCTATATTATTAGTAATAATAATTAACGAATTCACTAATAATTAATAATCTTATACCTACAGCTTTAATTTAGTAGTATTTTATTTATTTTTTAATTTATTTTTCTCATGTATTTTATTTCTCCTAAATCTTCTATTACACCAAATAACAAACTTTGATATTAAAATTGACTTTTTACAATAAACATTTATATTTTTTTAAGTGCCAATGACTAACAAATGCAATTTTATATTCACATTACAATTTACATTTATTAATACCCATCTCTATAAAGTAATTTTTTGTATTATTTAATTATTTACTTGATAGTAATAACATCGATTAAGGAATAACGAGTTTAATAACAATTGCTTGTATTTTTTTTTCTTGTTGTATAATTTTATTCTATTTTAAAGAACTTGAACCTGATTTTTTAATCTTTTTAACCTATCACTCAAAAAATGAAAATAACACCCTGTATAAGGAATAAACGGAAATATTTTTTTAATATGTTCTATCAGCTATAGTACCATGTAAATATGTATCTTCAGCTTGAGGTTGAACTGATTCCGATCTAAATGGGTTTGAACCTGTTAAAAACGGATTCGCAGCGTTTACAACTGGAGGAGGAGCTTGGGATGGTGGAGTTGGTGGAGCTGGGTAAGAGGGTGGAGGAAATTTCGGTTGTTGATTTGGAGGTTCAACCGTTCCATACGTTGGATTTGCAGACATTTGAGTTTGCAACAGACCATTAGTTTGGAGCTGAAAAAAATAATAAACAAATTAATTAAGACGAAAAGATTTATTAAAGCAAACAAAATTTATAACTCTTCTTTTAACATTGGTTTCGTAATCCATTCAGTAACATCGTTAAATTCAGGTAAAATCTCACTATTCATTCGTAACGGCGGTAAAAAATCATGTCGTATTTGACTAAAGAAGAAATAAATATTTTCTTCCTTATAAGGGCCTTTAAGTTGATAAAAAGTTTTCTTTTTTGCGATTATAACCAAGATTTTAGGTAAAGCATAACTTTTTATGTCAAATGCTTTTTCGAATTCGTCGTGATCGCCGAAAATCGTCCAAAGATACCCCCAATTAGGTAAATTATAAATTTTTGCTACATTTTGGAATTTCTGCAAGTATTTTTCCCTACATTTTTTATCGCAATGTTCAATTTTTGGGACAACAAGAACGACGCAATATTTATTCGTTGAGTAACATACATCTTCAAAAATTTCACTCCGCGTTATTTGTTCGATTTGACTTGGTTCTTTCAATTTTTCTGGAATACTTAACTTTTTAAATTTGTTTTCGTTATTTTTTACTTCGATTATAATGAATAATAGCAAAATAATTCGCGCGAAAATATCCATAACTGTCATAAAATCATAATTATTTGTAACCATAGCAAGATCATAATTCATTGTGCTCAAAAGGAAACAATTTCGGGACATTTTTAATAGATAACGCAGATTTAAATGTGGAAACAATTGAATTGTGATTAAAAACTTGTTCAAAAAACTCTTTGATTTCGTCATAAAGGAAACTACCCTTAAAACTAATAAAAGTTTGTTTGAAGCTGTTGATTACTAAAATTAAGGGATAATCATCTTTTTTAATATTGAAAACTTCTTCGAGATTTTTTTGCTCATTACTCTCAACCCATAAAAAATTCCAATTGTAAGATTCGATTTTTTTTGCGATATCAGATAACATTTTAAATTTATTGTGTCGGCATAAAATTGGGCACTTTTCTAAATTTTCCAAAAAAAAGACAACACAAATTTTCATCAGGCATAGTTCCTTAAATTTAAATTCACTTGATAAATGTTCGATTTCGTGAGTTCCTTCAATTAAATCTAAAGCCCAATTATAAACATTTTCATAATTTAAATCCCCATGAAAAAATTGAACGTTTTTCTCGTTTTTAGAACCTTTTGGAAAACAAATAATTTCTAATTTATCATTTAACCGATACATACGATGAATAAATCGATCTTTTTTATAATCAATAGTTAAATCGTAATGTCCTACTTTTACCCTTCCTTTTAAATTAACCGCCATTTGATCCCACCAGTCAAATAAAGACATCGATTCTTCTTCGTGTGGAAATAATAAAGCAATTATCCACGGTTCCGATGTCTGTAAAACCTTAAAATATTCATCTCCGGTTAAATCGATAGATTTTTCTTCAGGTTTTTCATCAAAAACGATTTGATTAACTCGTTTTCGGATCGTTTCCAAAACGAAATTAACTAAATTTCTTGGCGATTTCGTTTTGTAATATTTTTCGTATTTATTTTTATCAACATCGAAAAATAAAAAGATCGGATCTGGACGTTCGTGATGAAAAATGTTAAATTTACGAAGTAAATCTTGGTTTGTTCGCACAAAAATCTCACCGACTTTTATTAATCCTTTTAAAGCAACTCCAACTTTTTCAAATTCGTTAACGAATGTATTTAAATTTCCTCCTTCGTGGCATTTTATTAACCAATAATTATTGCTTTTTAGAACTAATTCGTCGAAGTTTGTCCAATTTAAACGAATAACATTAGTGTCTTTTGAATATTTATCTGATGATATTAATGGGAAAAGTGTAATGAATGAAAGAATGTTTTTTAACATATTTTTGACGTTTTATACCGTTGTTTTGATGAAAATTGTCACAAAAGTAGTTATGAAAAAAATTGTATTAATTTCAAATATTTGAAATAAATGCTGTTTTTTAATAGCAATATTAGCAATACGGAAATATTTAATATAAAAGCTCGCTGCTTTGTAATCTGTATTTGCTGTTTATTATTGCGTAACTCTTCCCGAGCTGGTGCAGATTGATAAAGAGGTCAATTTGAGAACATTTTTTGGTATTAAGTGGTAATTTTGAGGTTTAACCTTGAAACTCCTTTGTTAAATTGTATCTTTGACATATCTTCCAAGGATGGGCTTCGAGATAAAAGTGTTACTGGCTAAATTGCCAGGAATTTGTGACTTATGTGTTTCCAAAATACTTATTTTGTTTGAAGGATAATTTCACATCTTTTTTAATCGACTCATTACATTATCACTACAATATTGATGAACCCATAGCCTAGTTTCCGATATTTGGTAAACTTTTTGAATACTTTTGAAATTGAACAGAAAATTTTGGGGAACGCTCGTCATACAATATCAGGCGACGGGTTAATTGTGTCACAGAAACTCTTCTCGCATTAATAAAATAGATGTCAATAAATGTAGAAGGATCTCTTTTCTTTGCCGTCGGTTATCTCTATTCCGTGCGACCGTCTAAGCATTATTTACATAGTAGAGTCAAAGATATTTCATGTTTTGGTTTTGTTTAAGCTAACAAGTCTGTGCGTCTTTTAAAGTTCTTAGCTGTTATAATTGCTACTTCTTTTCTAATTTCAAATATTTACAACACAAAATTAATACCTTATTTTCCTAAATGACATTTAATGATATTTAGCGGAAGTTCCATAAATATTTTATACGGATTCGTTATTTCACAACTTTTTTAAATTGTCAAAAAACAAACTTAAATATTATGATTAACTTCAACGATTTGTATCTCAAAACCAAAAATGATATTGCAAATGGTTTTATTGAAAAGTAGACACTTTTTTTGATAAGTCATGGATATTCCATAACCAATTTCCAAGAAACCTATCGATCACAATATTTTTAAGTTAAAAGAAAACAAAAAGCTTAAAATGATGATTAACTTCAAAGATTTGTACCTCATAAACTAAAAGTGATATCGCTAAAGAAATAGTTTTATTGAAAACTAGACAGTTTTTTCGATAAATTAAAAATATTCCATATCCACTTTCCAAGAAACCCATCGGTCACCATTTTTTAATTAATCATAAGAAAGGCAATCTAGAAGTTATGATTGACTTTAAAGATTTGTATCTCAAAAACTAAAAGTGATATCGAAAAGCAAATAGCTTTAGTGAAAAATAGACACTTTTTTTTATAAATCATGGATATTCCATATCCGCTTTCCAATAAACCTATCGATCACATTTTTTTTTTAAATTAATCATAAGATAGACCACTTAAAAGTTATGATTGACTTTACAGTTTTGTATCTCAAAAACTAAAAGTGATATCGAAAAACAAATAGCTTTAGTGAAAAATAGACACTTTTTTTGATAAATGGTGGATATTCCATAACCATTTTCCAAGAAACCCATCGATGACAATATTTTTAAGTTAAAAGAAAATAGACAGCTTAAAATAATGATTAACTTCAAAGATTTGTACGTCAAAAACTAAAAGTGACATCGCAAAACAAATAGTTTTATTAAAAACTAGACACTTTTCTTGATAAATCATGGATATTCCATAATCAATTTCCAAGACCAATCGGTCAACATTTTTTAAATTAATCGAAAAAAGCAAAAAACTTAAAAATTATTTAAACTAAAAATGATAACGCAAAACAAATAGCTTTATTGAAAAAAAGACACTTTTTTTGATAAATTAAGGATATTCCATAACCACTTTCCAAGAAACCCATCGATCACAATTTTTTGTGAAATCATAAGAAAGGCCACTTAAACGTTATGATTGAATTTAAAGATTTGTACCTTAAAAACTAAAAGTGATATCGAAAAACAAATAGCTTTATTGAAAAATAGACACTTTTTTGATAAATCATGGATATTCCATAACCATTTTTCAAGAAACCTAGCGATCGCAATATTTTTAAATTAAGAGGAAACAAAAAGCTTAAAATGTTGATTAACTTCAAAGATTTGTACCTCATAAACTAAAAGTGATATCGCTAAAGAAATAGTTTTATTGAAAACTAGACAGTTTTTTCGATAAATTAAAAATATTCCATATCCACTTTCCAAGAAACCCATCGGTCACCATTTTTTTAAAATTAATCATAAGAAAGGCAATCTAGAAGTTATGATTGACTTTAAAGATTTGTATCTCAAAAACTAAAAGTGATATCGAAAAGCAAATAGCTTTATTGAAAAATAGACACTTTTATTGATAAATCGTGGGTATTCCATCACCACTTTCCAAGAAACCTATCGATCAAATTTTTTCTTATAATTAATCATAAGAAAGGCAACTTAAAAGTTATGATTGACTTTAAAGTTTTGTATCACAAAAATTAAAAGTGTTATCGAAATACAAATAGCTTTAGTGAAAAATAGACACTTTTTTTGATAAATCATGGATATTCCATAACCGTTTTCCAAGAAACCTATCGATCACATTTTTTTTTAAATTAATCATAAGAAAGACAACTTGAAAGTTATGATTGACTTTAAAGTTTTGTATGTCAAAAACTAAAAGCGATATCGAAAAACAAATAGCTTTAGTGAAAAATAGACACTTTTTTTTATAAATCGTGGATATTCCATAACCATTTTCCAAGAAACCCATCGATGACAATATTTTTAAGTTAAAAGAAAACATACAGCTTAAAATAATGATTAACTTCAAAGATTTGTACGTCAAAAACTAAAAGTGACATCGCAAAACAAATAGTTTTATTGAAAACTAGACACTTTTCTTGATAATTCATGGATATTCCATAATCAATTTCCAAGACGAATTGGTCAACATTTTTTAAATTACTCGAAAAAAGCAAAAAACTTAAACATTATGATTAACTTCAAAGATTTGTACCTCTAAAACTTAAAGTCATATCGCAAAACAAATAGTTTTATTGAAAAATAAACACTTTTCTTGATAAATCATGGATATTCCATAATCAATTTCCAAGACCAATCGGTTAACATTTTTTAAATTAATCGAAAAAAGCAAAAAACTTAAAAATTATTTAAACTAAAAGTGATAACGCAAAACAAATAGCTTTATTGAAAAGAAGACACTTTTTTTGATAAATTAAGGATATTCCATAACCACTTTCCAAGAAACCCATCGATCACAATTTTTTGTGAAATCATAAGAAAGGCCACTTAAACGTTATGATTGACTTTAAAGATTTGTATCTCAAAAACTAAAAGTGATATCAAAAAACAAATAGCTTTATTGAAAAATAGACACTTTTTTGATAAATCATGGATATTCCATAACCATTTTCCAAGAAACCTAGCGATCGCAATATTTTTAAGTTAAAAGAAAACAAAAAGCTTAAAATGATGATTAACTTCAAAGATTTGTACCTCAAAAACTAAAAGTGATATCGTAAAAGAAATAGTTTTATTGAAAACTAGACACTTTTTTTGATAAATTAAAGATATTCTATATCTACTTTCCAAGAAACCCATCAATCACAATTCTTTTTAAATTAATCATAAGAAAGGCAATCTAAAAGTTATGGTTGACATAAAGATTTGTATCTCAAAAAGTAAAAGAGATATCAAAAAACAAATAGCTTTACTGAAAAATAGACACTTTTTTTGATAAATTAAGAATATTCCATAATCACTTTCCAAGAAACCCAAAGATAACAATTTTTTTTAAAATAAATTATAAGAAAGGCAACTTAAAAGTTATGATTGACTTTAAAGATTTGTATTTCAAAAACTAAAAGTGATATCGAAAAACAAAGAGATTTATTGAAAAATAGACACTTTTTTCTGATAAATTAAAAATATTCCCTACCCACTCTCCAAGAAAACCATCGATCACAATTTTTTTAATTAATCATAAGGAAGGCAACTTAAACGTTATGATTGACTTTAAACTTTTGTATCTCAAAAACTAAAAGTGATATCAAAAAACAAATAGCTTTATTGAAAAATAGACACTTTTTTGATAAGTCGTGGATATTTCATAACCATTTTCCAAGAAACCTATCGATTACAATATTCTTAAGTTAAAAATATAAATATTTGTACCTCAAAAACTAAAAGTGATAACGCAGAACAAATAGATTTATTGAAAACTAGACACTTTTCTTATTAAATCATGGATATTGCATAATCAATTTACAAGATTAATCGGTCAAAATTTTTTAAGTTAATCGAAAGAAAACAAAGAAATCAAAAATTGTGATTAACTTCAAAGATTTGTATCTCAAAAACTAAAAGTGATAACGCAAAACAAATAGATTTATTGAAAAGTAGACACTTTTTTGGATAAATCATGTATAATTCATAACCATGTTCCAAGCACCCCATCACATATTTTTTTTAAATTAATCGAAAAAAGAAGACTTAAAACATTTTTCGTAGTAGACTTTTTTTAATTAAAAAGCTCCTATTTTTTGCTTTCTAAAGGTTTAAATCCGAAAATGGTAGTAAAACTTGCGACATTTTAGTTAAATAAGTTTATTTTATTACAAATCCTCCCATTTTTCAATATTAGCAATAGAAGAAAATTTAAAAACATCAATTACTTTAGTATTAACTCCTCCAACATTATTCGAAAAATTTTCAACGAATTCATAAACTTCATTTTCTTCTTGAAAATATCTTAATGCCGTATAATTCATTAACAACAAATCGAACAAAATTAACGTAGGAAATTTATGTTTAATGTCAAAAGTTTTTTCTAATTCCCTTTGAGTAACAGCTTCCGCCCATAACCAACTATAAATATGATTTAGAAATTTCCGTGATAACTCTTCAAGAATTTTAATGTATTCCCTTCTACATTGTAATTTGCAAACCACGATTTCCGGTATAAATAAAATCCCGCAAATTTCGTGAGATCGACATGATTCAATAAAAATCTTTTTACTTATAATTTGAGCTACATCCGGTGGTTTATTAATCATAAAATTAACCCAATCGAAAATTTCGGTATACTCAATACTTCCGGGGTATTTCACGGCTCTATTTGTAGCTTTTGAACCTCGAGGAAGACATAAAAGTGATGGTTCATTATTAATTTTGTAGTTTTTGAGGTATTTTTTAAAAATTATTGCATCAATGTATCCAAAATTAGCTTTGATTTTTAAGTTTTTGGACACCTCGTCGTATATTTCATTAATTTTATCGTTATCATTGTTTAAAAAGGCGACAAACCAAAGATTATTATCATCCAAAACTGTTTTATCATAATTAGTTATATCTAAAGATATCGGATTTTTAAGATTTAACGATCTGTTGAGTTCTCGTTCACTCATTTTTTGGGCTTCTTCGAAAATAGAATCAATAAGTTTTCTTGGTGTATTTTTATTCTTTAATTTTAGTATTGTTGTTCTATTTAGAGAAAAAACTCCGAATGTTGGAAAATTTAAAATTGGAAAATCGATTTCTTTAACATCAACAGCAACAACGTGAACAAATCCTTCAAGACCATCAGCTATTTTTTCGTAATTTCTCGAAAAATCGCGACATTTTTCGTTTTGATCGTCGTAAATTTGTACCAAGATTAAGTCGTTCGATTTTTTAACGAAATTTTTTAAGTTATACCAAGAATAATCAAAAACTTTACTATTTTTTTGAATAAACCATTTTGGTTTACTTAACTCGATTAGCATTGATAAAATAAAATAATTCAAAATTGTTTTAATTGACATTTTGAAATGAAGTTTTAACCTTTCAATAAACTAAACCCGAATGTTTCTAGTTCTAGGTTAAGTATTAGTTCTAGTGCTAGTGTTAGTTCAAACTAATAAAACTAGAATTAACACTACAACTAATACTAAACGTAGAACTAGAAACATTCGGGTTTAGCCGTCTTAAGAGGCGTATGGCTAAACCCGAATGATTCTAGTTCTTGGTTTTGTGTTAGTTCTAGTGCTAGTGTTAGTTAAAACAACTAAAATGAGCAACATTAATTAATTAAAAAAATTGTACTTACGGAAGATGATTTTTTCATTTGAACAGTTTCATCCATAGGATTCCATTGGCTTTGTTCTTGAGCATCAGAATCAGCCCATGGTTGTAATTCACCGGAAGCGAAAATACCATAAAAAGCGACGCCGAAGAAATGAACGCAAGCGGCGAGGATAAAAACCGCACTCCAATGATCCGATCGCTGTGTAAAGTAGCACAAAAAAAAGCAGAAAACAATCTTAACTAAAATGCTCTGTAATTTCGATGGAAAGCTTTCGTGTGGTGTTTCCCTTCTATTAAACGGTGGGAAACACTAAAAGCTCGCCCGCTAATTCGGTTATAGGGAGGCGTTTCCTCAACCCCCCAAACAACAAATTTGACATTCATTTTGATGTCGGGCGGCGCGCGTTTTAGTTATAAGTTATGGCACGGAGGGTACAACCATATATCAAAAATTTCTCTCTCCCTTACGGATAGAGAGGGTGAAAACATTTTGAACGCTGAAACTGTTACGCTACAGCGAGTCAATTTCGTTGGAGAGAAATGGGCTTTATTCAAAATTATATTTCGGATGTTGGGGCGTTTTGTTGGTGAGCGTTCGTGCTTGAAACGGTTTTGAAATGAACAAAGTGCGCATTTTCACAAAAAAGAATCGATAAAATTTTATTGTTTAGCACTTACCTCTTTTAAATTTGTTACTCCATCAGTTAATTTATGTACAACTAACGGGCAAATACAACCGGCTATCGTCCCAATTCCATTAGATAACCCCATTAATATACTCGCATATTTCGGGGCAATATCTAAATGGTTAACGTTAAAACCAGAGATGGCAAATCCTGAAAATGCTACGCCGATTGTTAACGCTGTAATAGCAACGGAAATTGTTCCTGAGAAAGCTACCACGAGGAAGAATGTTGCTTCCATTCCAAATCCACCGCAATTAAATAATTTTCTTACTTGCGTTGTCGTTAAAGTCCCTTTTTTTCGCAAGTGATCAGCTAAAACTCCCCCAGCTGGTACTATTATAGTCATTAGTAAATGAGGCAGTGCGCCGAGAAGAGCATTCTAAAATAAAAAATAATTAAAATTAAAACAAACTTTTAAATATTAATAATACCTCTTCGATTTCTATTGAATAAACATCGCTTACAAACGATGCTTGAAATAAAACTAATAAATAAAAATTCCAAGATCTACAGAAATTAGCAACGAAAATAGCCCAAACTGGCAGCGAAGTGAAAAAACATTTCCAAGGGATATTAGCAAAAGTAGTTGGAGGTGCTGAAGTGTTCTCGCCCAACGAACTTTGAATATAATGTAATTCTCGATTTTCAATAGTCGGATGTTTACTTGGTTTCTCAAACACCAACCAAATCCAAAACAAATACCAAGTTATCCCAAGAAAACCATAAAAATAAAACGGCGATTTCCATCCGGAATGTCTCACCAAAATCCCTCCTATTGGTAAACCGAACATTACCCCAGCATAACACCCACAAAACGCTAAAGTAGCTAATTTCGATCGTTCTAAAGGTGGTGCCCAATATCTCCAAATACCATGGCAAGAAGGATATGTTACACCCTAAAAAATGATTTCCAGAAATTCTGTAATTTTTTATCTAGACCTTACTTATTCAAGGTTACCTCAACCAGTCCTTGTAAAACCCTAATACACATTAAAAGATGAGGTGCTTCTATTAACGTAGGTGGTACGAAAAAATTTAGCAAACAAGATATTCCTATCGCGCCACCAAAAAGACGATTCGCAGGATATTTTGTTGCTAAAAACCCACCCGGTACTTGAGTAACCAAATATCCCCAAAAAATCGATGAATCAACCGACGACAAAGTCGTATTTTCCTGAAAACTTTTTAAATTCACGTCACTGATTTAAACCGTTTAAAACTTACCACGATTTTCTTCAATTCCAATTTCGCTAAACCCATATTACATCTCATCCCAAACATTACAATAAATCCCATACATGCTAAAAGGGCTACAGTAAATCGTTTTGATAAACAAGGACATTCTGGGGCAATGTATTTATCTATATGTCGTAAGGGTGGTCTTTCAACTTCTGATATACTTGACGGGCTTCTATCATCTGCGGGTTCATTTGCATCTTTACTCTTTACATCAAATTCTTCATATCTACCAGTTGTCCTAAAAAAATATAATTGATTTAGAACAGGATAAAAAAAAATTCAACTGACGAAGAAGAAAAACTGACGATTCCATAAGAAAAATTATTTCATGAATTTTCTTATGAATAAATTGAAAAACTCTTTAAGGAATTTAATTTCTTTTCATTGCAATGACGTTTGTTGTGGAATGAGAACCAATGAGATGATTTAGTGATAAAATTATTCAATGAGTTCTAATTCAAATCAATTTACTGCATGGAATAAGAAATTACTGCTCACAAATCAGTTTACATGCTGTGTTTGACTTAGTTTTGCTTGTATGATTTGCAAGTGACGACAAAGTTTATTTTGAAATCTATTTCAATAGTAATCAATTGCAAAAGGACAACATTTTGGTTTGTGGCAACTCAAACAGAAATTAACATTCAGCTTTTAGTTTGAAAACTAATTTGTAAAAATATTCAGGTATCTAATTGAAATGAATTCCAATTTGGCAAAAATTTACAACATTTTTCGGAAGTTTAAAGTCAGTTTTCAGAACGATTGACTATCTGAAAGGAAAAACCTGTTTGTGAATGCATAAAGATTCAGGTTATAGTTTGAAAATGTTTTTCAAAAAGACTCTAGCGTTCTATGGCTCATGTTCCAGTTTGCTAAAAAATGTGGCTTTAAGAATCTTACTGCGTAAATCTTAGTGCGCAATTGTCCAATGATTCATGTCCTAGTTTTGGACCAGTTTACAGAAAGATTCAATGTTTGACTGCAATACATGATTTGACTGCAATAATTTGACTGGAGATATAGGTACTATGTTGGAGAAGGATTTAGAAATCAGTTTGAAATCAGCTTGCTACAAGATTTAAGTGTTATTTTGGAACAAAATTAGAAATCATTTAGAGGATTACTCCAATGTCTGTATAAATACAATGAGATTCATGTTTCAATTCATTTCAATTCAGCAAAACTCATTTAAGTTTCAGTTTAGATATCACTTTACAGAAAAATTCAAATATATGACTGAAACTGAATTTCAATCATTGAAGAAATAAGGCTACATGATACAAGGTTACCCATTATACGACATTTATAACCAGAGCAAGGTCAACATATACTACTTATTGATCATTGATAAACTCATTTCGTACAGTTACTAAACTAATACACTTGCTAATATACAATTTGAAGGCTTAAAACCAGATAGGCTTAAATTTGCATTGAAATATATGAGTTAAATAAAAGCCAATTTGTTAGCAAGCATCAATACCATCAAAGAGAAGTTAGGTTTGGTTATCGTACGGTATAGAAAACATACACTGAGCTCATTGACATCACTGAGTTTCGAACAACATTAACCCGTTTCCTGAGACAAGCAGAAGATGGCAATTTAGGAAATCCTGTCTGAATAAGAAGAAATTTGGCATTATTTTCAAATCACTATAATCAAAGAGATTAATGCTTTATTAATTTGTAACTAACTTTACCACATATTGAGAGTACTTAATAAATGTTAAAAGAGCATCTTATTGATGTTCTTGGGTTTCCTTATGAATAATTTATTCAAAATATCGGACAAGATGGAGAGAATGTACTATATTCACTATGTTCGCTTAGCTAGTACAACAAAGAGGTGAATTTAATTATTTGCTTATAATAATAGCTTATAAAAATCCGTGCAAAGCAATTATAAAGATAGCAAGTTCCTCTACAGTAAGCAATATGTCTTTCTCACGATCTGTGATGTGCAAGATAAAAGTAAAGTATTGGCATTATTACTTTTGGATGGAGCAATGGTACCTTAATGTCAGTTATTTAGTTCAGAAATCGGTAATAATGCCAATATGAACTTTGTTGATGAATATCGCCAATAATAGAAAGCCGAAGAAGTAGCGGCATTCATATATTTCAAGTTTATTGATTGTTCTGTAGTTCATGCATTTCGCTTCTAAAAAATGTTACTCTCTTAGTTCTATTATTGGACCCATCATCGAACTTGTAATGAGCAATGGGACACTACATAACCTACGATACGCGTTGTTGTTAGCAAAAGACAACTTTTACATGGTACAATCTTGACAACTACGAACGTCGAGTAAAGAGGATATGACAATATCACAAGATAGAGTTCAACAGGACTAGAATACTTGATAAGAACCAATGTTACAAGCCGATATCCAAAAAATCAATAGCTAATTTATCGCCACAAGAACAACATTGAGAGAAAGGATGGTATGGAGTTCAGTCCAATATTTATTTAAGTGTATTCTGACAATTTTCTACCCATTTTGGCAATTTTGAACTTATGAAAACATTATACTTTTACGTCCAATCTTATTACAACGTGTAATGAGAAAGTTTTTTAAAGCATATTTGAGAAATGAAATGTCGAAGACTGCCTCAAAGAAAATCAGATGATACCGATTTGGATTAGATGGTGCTGCTCTTAAACTTTCAGAAGCACGCTAAAAAAGACTGCTAGAAGAATTAAAAATTGAGATCTAAAAAGGGATTGTAAGATCGCAAATTTGTCTTTGATGCCTGGAAACAACAAAAAAGAGCATTTAGTGAGTAATCACAATTGATGATTTTTTTGGCATACGAACCTGAATTCAAGTGCCACACTACATAATAAAACATGTTGGATCATTAAGAAAGCAAAACTTACGTCAAACTCCATTCTTTGAAAAATAGATGGCAATTGCCGCTTATTACATTTGGAGAGTCATTGTGATTCACTTCATTTCACATGAGATAACACCGTACGGCGGGGAGTTTCTATAGAGACCAATACGATATGAAACTACTTAGCAAAAAAGTTTTAATTTTATGAGTAATGATGAGGTACCACATACAGCAAACTGCCTAAGTCGACATATACAACAGTAGAGATGGGAGAAACCCATCATATTCTCCTGACCATTCTTCTTGTAACTTTACCTCATACCAAAGGCAAAGAAAAACAATAAAACATTGCAAATTTGTGTGGTGGAAGTTGATGGTATTCAACAAATCCCACATCATTGGTAACGTGTTGTGAACGTTGCAGAGGATTACTTTGAGGGTTTCATTCACTGCAATGTGTCTGGATCAAGATAATTTCACATACCTTAATAAATAAACGAAACGTACATATTCTGTCATATTCATATTTAATTGGAATGCGAAACGGTTAGTTCAGATACCTGGCCATATTTAAGTAATATCTCGTAAAAATATTTCATTGTCTTATACATTTTGATTCATTATGGTCAATCACTGAAATATCCTAAGAAGAGGAAGAGTAGAACAGATCAATTTTAGTTATAATAGAAATCTGTCTCCTCTAATAAAAATCTAAGCTATATTTATGAATATTCAACGTTTAACATCTTTTTGTCTCATTTCATGTAAAATACTAAGACTTTGTGCTTACAACGTAATTCTAGTTATGCATAAATTGATACAAAGTCACTAAGTTAATACAATAAGATATTATCAGTTATTTTGAATTTATGTACATGATTTCATTATAATTCTAAGAATTTTTTTGTGTTAACAAAATTTGTTCCAATTTGTAAAATATTTTTAAATGATTTTTATGGGCTTCGAATTTATCTTATATGAGTCAAACCCTGTCCTGAAAATACATTAACCGTAACAATGGCTAAAGTTACTTCATCGCAACTATTATACTTTGAAGCGAAAATGCATTAATCGAGCAATGGGGGAGAAATGACAACGTCGAAGGGGCGGACACGACGATATATATCATAAAAACGTTTTTGTCGAAACCCCCCCCCTATTAATCGAGGATGGAATTATACATATCGCAAAGTTACAAATTGGTCACGGAAATGGAAAGATAATTTCGTGCTTTTTGCTATATAAAGGTGAGTTATAAATCCATCATTTCTGCTTGTGTTGTTTAGGAAATTGTATTGAAACCGTGAACAACAATCAACCCTCCGACGATTTCTCGAACGAAATCCTGCGTACAAAATCCTTCGAATGAAATCCTTAGAACGAAATCCTTCGAACGTGCCCAAAAACAGTATCGGCTTCTTACTGTTAATCCTTCAAACGGACGTTTGGCAGCATTCTCTATTATATAAATTCTTTTTTTATGAATCATCGAATTGGTGTTTGACTAAGAGGTAATAAATGGGTTACAATCGAAAATTTAAACTTCTTTAGAAGCCCAAATTGTATAACAAGAGGGAGAAATTCAAATAATCGAGTAAGTGCATTTGCGAAATGCTTTAGAATTCAAGGGACGTAGGCGATCAGTGGCGTCACGGAGTATAAGGGTTTCTCACCCACTTCTCACAGACGATGACGCCAATACACCCCTGAATATTAAAACGATAGGGAGAGGTGAACATTTATCTACAAAAAATTCCTTTTTCCATTTTTTCCCTATTTTCGTCATCTTTATAGATCGATTAACCTGGTGCATGGGATTCGATTTCGTCGCGCTTATAAGTTTGCTTTGATTGCATCCCGATCTCCTCTCCTCTTCTACTTACAACCCCCCATGAATACCCGAACAGAACGGCCCGGCAAGTGACATTGAGTGGGCCCCGTGATATTACTTCGGCTCCTTGAGTCAGTGCTATTATGAGGCATCAACCCAACGACGAAAGGGGAAATGAGACGGTAGACGATCTAGAGAGAGAGTTTAGGAGTTATTTCCACCGAGGAAAGGAATATTTTAATTATTCTCCACTTCGGTTTCCTAATTGGAAATTTAAGTGTTTCTTTCTGTTAATTAAATAAACCTAAAATTGAATTGATTATAAGGTAGAAATATAATACCAAATATAACATAAATAAATTTTAATTTGGATTATTTTTTAATGTACTCTTTAGCAGCTTCTGGTATGTTCCCATATTAAGTCTCTGTATTTGATAAAGCGACTCATCTAAATTAAAGTGCAATTCACCATTTTTCCATTTAAAGTTGATTATGAGAAAATTTATTAAGATAATATGAAAAGAAGATTAATGAATGAAATGGAAAAAAGATTGAAAAAAATATGTCTG